TTTTAAACTGCATTCACCTAATGAAAAATTATATACATTTATCTTGACAGAAGAAAAGTAGGCAAAATTAGTTTTTATTTTCAAACAATTGTTTTCGTTTACAAGCTAATTGAAAATACAGTATTTTACTAAAAGACAATGGCTAAGTTAAAACTTTCACTTAGTTTCTGTTTTAATACATATGCATTTTGAATGTTCACTATTGCTCATGATCAGTTCAGAGAGCTTTGAACTCTAGAAGAACACAGTAGTAAGTTACTACTGTTTACAAGTTCATAATGACCTCTGGGAGGGACCTTAAATTGCTGATCTTTATTACTTGACTAAATAATCAAGATTTTCTTCTAGTTGCTCATAAAGGAATTGGTAAGTTCTTTTCTCACTTTAGTTCTAGCATTCAGGAAACAGGTATGTCCAATTTTGTCTTCTTTTCACAGACTTAAGTTGATCCACCTTGACTAAACCCACAGAGTTGGAGAGACTTTCTGAAGGACTTGCGTCATCTGATAACATTGAAGTGAAAAGTAGCCAGTGGCTAAAGGACAATGTATCAAACTGTTCACATGACTGGATCATTTTTTATACAGCTCATTTCTTTGTGGTTAATAAGACTGTATCCAGTCTTACTTCTTTCAAATGCAAACTAACTGTAAACCAGAAAAAATTATTTAAAAACTAGCATATTCATTAATTAACTGACTAGAAATATTTCTTATTAACCAATACACTAGAAAGATAAAAAGTAATGATTTGATTGCATTGAAGCATCAGTTGGTGCTTTCGCATTAAAACCACTTTTTTGGCCATAATACAAGTTTTATATTTAAAAAAGAAATTTTAATTATAAAGATTTTCAATTGTTAAATGGAGTAAGTTTAGTGTTTTAACATGGTTAACATAAGCTTTCAAATGAATGTCAGCCTTACTTATTGCTGCCCTTCATCAGGCTAGATAGTTTTAATGGAATAGCAGAATATTGTTAGTTGTATGTGACTGTTTTAGATAGTTTATATAGTATGGGTGTCATATGGGTTTACATAATTGCTTACCATTGGTGGAGGAAGGAATTTTGGATTGGTCAGGCAATCATAATAATGTTAAAAGCATGACAACTTTCGAAAAATAGGTGCTCTAAGATTTAATTTCGTGCTAATTTATTGAAAGTATTAATAATTTGCAAGCACTTTTAATGATTCACAAAAATAGGTACTTATACTCGCCATAGTTATAAGCGAGCGCATTTGTAAATTACACATGTAATTTATTATGCATTGTCATACTGATTCGTACATACTACTGTAGGTCTAGAAACAATTTTTGAAGCACAAGTTAAAGTAAAAAAAAACCTCTAGTTACTGTAACAAAATTTTGGTCTGGCTGCTGCTTGGTCTGCTGAACCTGCTCTGGTGCACATGTTTACAAATCATATGTTGTGTATTTCAATTGTTATGAATTAGTTGTTGTTTACAACAGTGAGATCATTGCATCATGTTGCTAGAACTTTCTGAGTTTCTCATTGGTTTAAGCGAGTATTATTGCATCAGAATATATCTAGTATTGTTTAGAATATTTTAGACTTCTGTCGGGGTATAAATACATGTCAAAAAATCATTACTTATTTCTAGTTCTAGACTGCTTTGTCATGTGCTTAGAGATAAATAGTGTACAGTGGCGATTTTTAAAGTGAAATTTTTACAGACCATAATGTAATAACAGATCAGAGAAGAATAATTTATCTTGCCAATTTTTCTAAAGTATCTGAACCAGCCTGTGTGGATTTTGATGAAAAAGAGACTATTTTTTTAAAGCTCTAGATACAACTGTGGTAACCAACAATGTAACAAGAAAGAACAAAAGGAGAGATTGGAAACAGAGAGAATAGGAGCATAAATTGAGATCATCAAGCTCATCCAACAGAAAGATGGAGGACCCAAGTAAAATAATGGGGTTAGGGCCAGCCAACCCAAGCTACCCAAATTTGATGAACAGAAAGGTGACATGGATGCTTTTCTGGAGAGGTATGAAAGATTTGCCCAAAGTCGTAACTGAGACAAAGGTGACTGGGCATTCTGCCTCAGGCCCTTCTCGCAAGAAATGGCCTACAAGTGTATGCAGCAATGATGTCAGGAGATGCCATGGACTATAAAAAGTTAAAATTGGCCTTGCTGAAATGCTAGGAACTTACCTGACACTGGAGAAGCTACATTTCAGTTTGTGGCACATCTGTGGCAATATTTCACAAGATGGACTGACATGGCCAAGTATGAAGATAGTTTTGAAGGACTGGCAGATCAACTAATACATGAGCAGTTCATGATCATGTGCTCCACTGACATGTCACTGTTCATAAAGGAGAAAGCACTGAAAGACGTGGACAAAATGACCAAGCTGTCAGAACAGTATGTAGAAGCCCATCAAGGGAGTATAATTGGCAAGTCCAAGAATAACCAGTCAAAGTCAAAACCAGGGATGGCTGATCAGAAGTAGGATGACACAAAAGGTGACAAGAAATCAACAGACAAAAGGGAGAAGAGATGCTATGCTTGTTATAAAATGGGGCACATTGCAAGTGAGTGCAAGTCTGTCACCAACAAACAACAACAGAAATCTCAACATAAGGCAGCTGGAGCTACCCATAAAGATGGTACTGGAAAGAAACAAGAAAAGAGTGAGTATCACCATGGATACTGCTGCCAGAAGAAACAGATTCACCACAAGAAGGAAGTGCTGTCACCATGATTAAACAGTACATGATTAATGGTCAGCTCAAGTTAGCAAATGAGTCAACAGTGCCCGTGGTGATCAGAGCATTTTACAAACATTGAGAGGTGCCAACAAACCACAACATGCCTGTAGGTGAAGGCTATGTTGGGGACAAGAAAGTGAAAGTCATACAAGATACTGGGTGAAGCAGTGAGAACCATTCTAGTATCTGATGATCAGATGACAGGCAAAGTACATATGTGTGTGTGTGCTGATTGATGGGAAAGTGAGAAAGTTTCCCATAGCAAGGATAAAGGTGAACACTCCATACTATGTGGGACACCTTGAGGTTATGTGTATGAAGGCACCAATACATGACTGGGTGATTGGCAATATACTAGGCAGTAGAAGTTTGGAGGAACCAGACAGAAAGAAGACTGATGAGACATCTGCAGTTACCACTAGAGCTCAAGAGAAGAAAAGCAAGCAAGACATCAACTCCCAGCAAGTCTCAAAAGGCAACATCCCAAATTTAGGTCTACAGGAAATGAAAGAAGCACAGAAGAAAGACCCTTCACTGCAGAAACTTTGGGACAGTGCCAGGGACAAATTTAAGCACAAGATCAATGAGAAAGGGACTTACAGAATAGGGGACTGGAAGGGAGTGCTGTACTGGATCTATCAAGATAGTTCTTCTGGGGAAGTTAAATAGATCATAGTACCAACATAATACCAGACTCACATGATTAAGTTGGCTCACAAGTTGATTGTGGTAGGATACCTAGGAGTGAAGAAGATGGCAGACAGAATTACCAGCAACTTCCACTGGCTGCAGGTCATCGGAAATGTGACATATGCCAAAGGACAATCCCTGGAGCAGTGGTTCTTAAACTTTTTGCTCTATGCCCCACCTCAACACCTCAAAAAATTTGATGCCCCCTTAATATAAAAACAAACTCAGTGTTGAAAAGGTATAATAATATAATGTAAAGTTTAGAAATTTAGTTTTGAGTTACGGAACATTTTTCACTCTTCACACCCAATTGAAAATTTTTTCTTATTGTGGCATTTTCAAATTGCCCCAAATATATTCAAATTGCTCCCCTGTGGAGCATACGCCCCACATTCAGAATTACTGCCCTAGAGGGAAGGTGACCAAGACGCCACTGGATGAGATGCCTCTCATAGAAGAGCCATTCAGCAGAGTAACTGTGGACTTGATCAGACCACTAGCACTTTCATCTGACAAGGGCAACCAGTACATGCTGACAATAGTTGACTGTGCAACACATTACCTAGAAACCATAGCACTGTTTAAGATAGAGATGGAGAGAGTAGAAGAAGACCTCCTTGAGGAGTTCTGCAGAGTAGGCTTTCCAAAAGAAGTCTTTGAGTGACAGAGGGAGCCAGTTTACTTCAGAACTGATGCAAGAGGTGTGCAGACTCATCAGCTCTTTGTCATCTTGTAGCATGCTGAAGAAGATGTGCCAGGAGAGACCACATGACTGGGACAAGTACTTGCAGGCAGAATTATTTACGTACCGAGAAGTCCGACACTTGTCAATTGCATTCTAAAGTAACTGAACCAGCCTGTGTGGACTTTGACAAAAAAAAAGGGACAATTATTTAAAGCTCTGGATAAAACTCTGGTAACCAACAGTGTAACAAACATTTGTATATACATTTGATTTGTTTTTAATATATTATTTTAAAACGAGTATGCTGTTTGTTTGTAGTTGAAATTTATCGCCAACAAGTTACAAACACCTACAGTAAAGAATCTGGCCTTGCATGCATTTAGACTGAATTATTCTACAGAAATAATATATCCTTCAAGTGCAGAGTTGAACATTTATAAAGAAAAACTTTTTAGCAATATATTGCTAAATGTTTTACCTAAACAGTTACTATAGGAATGTACAGAATTACACACAAAAGAAGCTATGACTATCCAATATTGAAAGCAATACTTAATAAAGAAAAACAAATTTAAAAGTACTTCTTAACCAGCTGAGCATACAAATTAGTGTAAATCACGTACTTAGTCGTATGATGTTTGTATCTCTGTTGTGAAAATACATACATTATCATGTACAAGCAACTCAGTTATGAGGTCATAAAGTTGAAAGATTGAATATATTGAAGAAAAAATTAAAACCATTCTGCTGTTTTGTCAGTTCTGTAGAAGATCCAAGTCAGTGCAGAAAGTCTCTTCACTCATGTGGTTGGTCCCTAAGGCTGTCCCACACTGAATGAATGTATTCAACTAATTCTTTCTCCCTTAATTTAACCATAAGCCCACTATTTCTGCTACTGGTCCTGCTTCCCAGGTAAAGTCAACTTATCATTTCTTTAGTCTCTCCACATTTTTAGGAAGACTTGGTAAATTTGACTGAAGGACAGCTTATTTGACAATATGTAAAGATGAAAAGACTTGTAGTGTAGAAATATAAGTAGAATAACAAGAAGAAAATTGTACAAATTGTTAAAAGCAAAGTAATAACTAACTGCCAGTGTTAGCTTGTTAAACATAATTTTTAATACTTACAGATCTTTAAACTGAAAAGAGGAACTTAATTTAAAAGTAGTTTTTCTTTAGTCTTTCAAGAAACATTATATTTAAAATTGTTCAGGAAATCTCAAATTTTGATAACTGGAAATCTTGGTATACCAACAGAGAAAAGGTGCTGAAAATGTTTGGGATGGTAACCACCTTCGTAGCAACTCGTAGTGGGTTCATGAGGTTTGAGGATCATCAGTCCCCAGAAGAGATAGCCAATAACACAGAAAGGTTGGTTTTTGGAATACTTTCTTAAATATTCACATACTTTCTTTGAACAATACTGAAGTACTGTGATAACCAAAAGTTTGAGTATTTTATAAAATGTCTTATTGACAGTAGCTAACTGGCTAACCTTTTATTTTGAGATTAGCTTTTGTTTTGTGATAATGGGTAGGGTAGTTGCTAAAAAAAATATCTTACTAGCAGTACTAGCAGCAGTAGTTAAGAGTATATTTTTCTTCTGTAATAATCAAACTACAATAAATTTATATTAATGAGAGAGACCTGTTGTTCTTAAAATTTTACCATACGTATCAAAATAACTGCTGACTCCAAGAAAGTTGTTATTATATTTCCAATACAATCTTGTGACATGTTTTCATTATGACACTTTGCCTTATATACAACCAACATGTTTTAATTTTTATGCCTTAGTGTCAATAGAGTGATTCACAAGTCTTGTTTGTATGCAAAAAAAAACCCGGATACATTTTTAAAATAAATTAATGTTCGTTTTTTAAATACTTTTTAGGCCATTCTATGATGTTCATACAAGGGCTATTGATGAACTGTTCTACAAAAGAGCCGTTGACTTTTATAGTGTTAACTCCTCAGCGTTTGTGTACTCTGTGCCTTTTGATGCAGGTAAAAGCATAATATAACAGTTCTTAGTTTTGTATTTATTTATCAATTAAATTGTATCTACACTTCTTTTTTATGGGATATTTTTGCTTGTTTTGTTTTTTAAAATAGGAAAAATCTATCAGTTAAGAAAATATACAGTATTCTTTCTGCAAAATTGATCATGCACTTAAACTTGTGGGTCTACAAGAATGTTTGTTTTCATTTTTGTGACCTAGTAGAAATTCCTTTTGATATTGTAAACACAGTACCCAAATAATATTCCCCTAAAATGGTAAATGTTGAAATGGCTTCTTCAGAAATAACGTGGAGATTGGTCAGACAATTCATCTTTTGTTTTCTTTGTGTTTGTAGTTCAAAATACACTCATTATGGAATTTATCACTAGTGACTTTGTACCCAAGACAAAAGATGACTTTTTTATGCTGTTCTCTTTCATCTTTGAATGTAGGTATTGCCATATAAGTACAAAAAACAAACAAACAGACACATGATTTATATATTTTACATATCTTTAACAAGAACTAGTACTAACTTGAAAATACAACAAAAAGAAAGCCACAAAGATTACATGTATGCGAATCTTTAATTAAAATTGTTATAGCCTTATGAATACAAAAAAACAACATAAAGTTACATGTTTGGTATACAAGTACCATATTTGCACTCTTACAGAGTTTATATTTCATAGTTATAAAATATTTTTATTTTTCAAAATTCTGCTTGGAACTTCCTGAATTCAGCCCCAGGTATTACTTTCTGCAGCAGAGTCTGACCACGGAAACTATCTAACATTTGAAGGAGTAGCTGTAGTTTGTCCTACTTTACCTTGTTTATGTGAAACTGCTCTGTTACTGAAACGTGGAGCAAAGATATTTCCAGACTCTTGTGATCCATTTATCAGGTTGATCAGCTACAGTGGGAAGATGAATTGTAAACATGGTTTTCTATTTTTCAAACTCTTTGATTTCTTACTTGAAAGGATCAGGACTTACAAATAAAGTCCTACCTTTGTCAAATCATCTCATCTAATAACTGTTGATCATGTTATGTATTAGAATTTCAAATAGTCTGAAATTAAGTTAACTAATAAATTTAGTAGTTTAATTGTACTTTAGATTTAGTATTTAAATTAGAGCTGATATATAGTCAGTTTATGATATTTACCAACATGATTGATACACATAATTCTTTTTAACGTACGTTTTTATATACACACAACAATACAATTTACAAAAACAATTATTATAATAGTTATTACAAACAATGATTTATAAACAAAAGTTTCACAAACAATATAGTCTTCTTTCTAGTCTGGAACTTCCTTGATATATTATCGAGGGTTCACGATAAACAAGTTTAATATGAGTTGACGTGGATATAATTCACTTAATGGGAAGCTAGTTAGCTTTGTTATTTGCTGGCCACACACGCTGAATCTTTGTCCTTCGTTATTCACCAGTCACGTGCACTGAGTCTTCCGTGGTGAATTTATGTAACGTTTTCGTAAAAATACTAATGTCCATTGAGAATCCACTGATGTTAAATGATTTGTAATGTTTGAACTTTGTAAATGCTCTTGGTCAAATATTATAAGTTTTCCAATTTGTCCTTCCATATATCTTACCATTAACAAGAACTGGTGTTGCCTTATAAATGCAAAAAAAACATAGCCACACAATATCCATGTATACATGTCTTTAATGAGTACTGATGTTGCCAACAGCCAGTGAACTTTTGTCTTTGCTTCTCATATTTTTATAAATATTTAAAAGTGCTGTCATGGTTTTATATTGTTTAATATGCAGTGTTATAAATATTTGAGTATTAGGTAGAAGTACCAGTGTTTTGAGATTTTATTCTAGTTACTCTTGTTAATAGAAAAGGCTAAATGATTTTTCTATGATTAAGCATCAATTCATGTAATTTTATGATATATGCAATTTTATGCAATTTATATAATGAACAAATTGTATTGCTGATTTGGTTTAATATTGGCGTTTATTTTGCCCTACAATTCCTATATTTTTGTGAAGAATATTCCTGTATATTTTTGGGATCTGCTGAGAGGCCTGATATTATAATTCATTTTGTAATCATTAATTCATTGTGGAATCTGATTTAGAATCTTTTACCAAATTGTGTGCCATTAAACATATCTTATTCAATTTTTGTTCCATTTGCAAATTTCATCTTAACTTGTATTTACAGGTTATTTATGCTAAAACCTATAGTTTTGAGTTACATCAACTCTTGGTAATTCAGCTAGATAGATTGGGAACATACCCAACTAAAGCCTTGTGGGATGTAAGGAAAAATTGTAACCCCCACACACACTTTTATCTCAAAACTGGCACAGGGGCACAAGCTATCCTGTTTAGCTATGTCAGTTATTGGTTTATTTTAGCATGATTTTGATTTGTCTGTGTACTTTATATTTAATGACAGGTCAGATGAATTTGTTATTTTATAAGTAGAAATGGTAAATTTTATGGTCTGCCTTTAAATTGTAGTGTCTCTGTTTGAAAATCATAGTCTGAAGAAAATATGTTCTTATGTTTTATTACCATTTATAACCAGAGTACAAGTTAAAGTGGTATTAGTTAGGTAGTTGTCAGGAAAAGGTTGAATTATCATTCTGTTGTTAATATACAGGTATGGAAAACCTAAAATTCTGCCTAGACATAATGTGGCCACCCTAGTTAGTTTTTGTTCAAACACATGACTTTCTTTAGTCATTTTCAAAATTAACCTCAACTTTCCTGCTTGATTAAAATTCAGGAACAAAACGTGACCCACTTGTGACAGCTAGCCATGCAATTTTTGTCAGTGAAGGTGAAAAAAAAGCTCCAGTTGCTGTTGTAGGGCTACAGATCCGACACTCAACTTTTGTATCAGAGTTCTTCAAGGAAACATCAAAAGTAGGTGACAGCTATTTTAAATATACTAATTAAAGATAAACATATACCATTTAGTAATAATGATATTCAAAAATACATGAGTGACATTTGAAATACACACCCAGGCATTAAAACAACTGTTGCATTAGTGGCTTCAAAGCTAAGCAATTCAATTCTTCAATATAAATATCCTTGTATCATATTTCTACTATTGTGTGGTTACTTTAAAAACTGATTATTAAAATTGACATTCTAATGAAATACCTTAACGTTGATGGCAAACTTTCATTTTTTAAGATAGGTATGCAAAATGCAAGATGTTTGCAAAAACACAGGTGGTAGTTTTCAGGTGCACTGATTACCTTACAGATAAAAACAATAACCACAACAACAACAAAAGGTACATCAGAAAATGTTATGCAGGGTTGAAACTAAATTTCTGACTTTGACTTAGTTTAAGAAAAGAAACAGCACAATATAAAAACAAATGAACAAAATATTTATTTACTTGTGACACAAGTCAAAGATGATGGATAGCACTTCTTTTTTTATTGTTAAGAGGTCTTAACAGGAAAAAAATCTAGATAAAGCTTGATATTCTTCTAAGACAGAGAAAGCTGATTTTTATATAGAAAAAAATAGTAGTGTCATCTCTCCCAGAATACATACACTACCCATGTGACTGTGATTCCACAAATAAGAATAGGGAGGGCATAGCCTCCAGTTGTTATCAAACTTCTACATAGTCAACCTCAGTACAATACTACGTGATGTTAAGCCACATAGTCCTCCACTGTTATCTTCCATCAGAGAGAGTTAAAGAGGATTGACCTACTGCAGTGTGCCAGAGCACTGAAAAAGTTGTCTGCATACCATGACCAGTTCTCTGTTATTAAAATATGTACACGTACACACAGGCATATGTATGTGAGTAAAATTTTCAAATATCTTAGGTAAACAACTGACATTTTTCAGACACTATGGGTGTACTTGCTTATTTAAGTTAAAAGTTTATAATACTGAATCCTTTCATGTCATTTGAAATACATATGCCTTTTCTCCAGAAGCATTGTAAATTAAAACAGTGATACTACACAATGAATGTTAAAACTTGTCTTATTTTGTTATTTGTAAATAAATGAAGTGACAACATTGATTGTAAACACTCTTGTCTTGTTCTTTATGAAGTGACAATAGAGATTAAGTGTAAAAACACTGGTCTTGCTCTGTTCCATATAAACTGATGAAGTGGCAACAGACAATGACAGTGAAAATTATTGTATTTTCTTGTTCTGTTCTGTGTAAATTGATGAATTGGCAACAGACTTGCACCAACATACAGTATGTGTTGTCTGTCAGTCAGTCAATAGACACAAAATGACATCACATAAGGGATGCTTAATGTTGCAATTTGTATTGTCATGACATCAGTAAAATGCGTGCATGCCATGAATCACAAAAAGAATTATGCATTCTGTAAGCTACAACACAGCATGACTTATGAACGTCAAAAGCAAGAAATAAAAATATTTGTTACTCTTAATTTTGGTTTTATTTACTCTTGAAACAGAACACTTTCAGGGAACCTGCAGAAGTACATCTAGTACAATAGTAATTAATTATTTTCAGTCAAATTTGTAAAAACCATAAATTATCTGTTTCTTTCACTTTTGTTTTTCTTTTCCAGTGTATTCATAAGTGTCGATACAACTGCAGTAACGAGGTATGTTTTTTTTTTCTCAGTATATCAGTTAACCTGAAGGTTTCTTTTTTATATAAAATTAGTGTATCTTTTATTTAATGCTAATCCTTACTAAAACTAATTTTTAGCAATGGTTTTCTTTCTTTTGATAAAAGTTAAAATGCTTGAGATTGTTATCTAACCATCATTTGTTTACAAGAAAGATTTATAAATACATTTATATTTCCCGTTCTAAACATTTTTTCTGTTTTTCAGAGACTCGACTGTTATTTACTGGATAACAATGGTTTTATCATTGTATCTGAGGTACACTCTCAGGTAAGATTTGCTTATTTTCTGATTCCTTTTGAAGCATCTCAACTCTGAATCTTCAGAAATAATGACATGCAGATGTCAAGTTAAAAACAAGCTCTATTACAATGTATCAAACACAGATTCCAATGTTGAAAGTTTTTGGTGCAGTTTTATTTTCTATTTAAAAAGAAAGAAGACTGTTTTATGTTTCAATTATTAAAACATAATTTTTCATATCTTAATATTTGTTTTTATTACAATGAAATTATAAATACATTTATATTCTCTTGAGATAAAATAATCTGTTTTTTAATTATAGGAAAGTTTTTGATAAATAAACTGAATAAAAAGCTGTTGCAAGAAAGGTATATATATATATATATATATATTTATGAGCTTGAGTTGTTTCTTCTTTCTACATTACCCCTATAATGTACTCCAGACATCTTAGAAATTAACTATTTTTCAAGATAAATGCATGAAATATACAAACTCAAAACAGACTTGGAAGGAAGAGTGATATTTATTAATTACAAAATATTTTACTTCAACTGTTTACCATAAAAAAAAAAAGTACATTTTCTAATGTTGTCTGTACATGTGTTAAGTAAAATTTTCTTACTGTTCACTTTTCTTTTGGGGATTCATACGTTAATATTATTTCATCAGTAAGTTTAATTATCAATCAATTAATGACCTCTTTTTTATTGATATTTACAGACAGGAAAGTTCTTTGGAGAAGTGGACTACACACTGTTTGACTCAATGATTAACTATGGAATTTATAATAGGTTGGAAGAGAAACATCCTGTTCTTATTCTGGTTTTAGCTTAGAACTTTTTTAATACAAAGAATCGTTTTGTAGTAAAAGTACAATTAACTGATTATAGAAACAGGCTTTTTAAAACTTAAAAATTGAAGGCAATATTACAGAAAATTTATTAATCATTTATGTACAAATTATTCCAAAAAAACAAAACATTCCAGCCAAGATGAATAGTCAAATATTTACTCTGTCTTTTCTAAGTTTGAATGAACTGTTAATAAACAGAACTTGTAAGAATTGAGCTTTTATAAAATTACATCAGTGTGCAGTAGCTACATCTTTGTTTTGATTTTTTTTTCTTTGAAGGGTTCACTTGTATGATTATCAAGCAATTTGTTTGGATACCATTGCTCCCTCTGGCCCAGCATCCATTTTAATGACAGTAAGTAAGCTAACAAAGCTGTATTATGAATATACACGAGATTTATGTGCATTGTAAAAGCAAACCATATGTCTCATTTTAAAATGTTTAAATAAAGGCATACATTGCAGATAGGTCACCCTTAATTAAACCATTGTGATTTAAAACTGCTATTTGTAGTTGGGACATTTCTAGGCTTAAAACGTTTTAACTAGAGTTAAACAATATTGTATTATGTATATTGATGTTTTGATAATTGTATAAATAAGTGTTATTTTTTGCAAAACATTACACTCCTGAGGATGATGCAGTAGTTTACGTCAAAACATGTAGAGTGTATGAGATTGTTTTCCAGTCTCATCATGTTTTTTTACCACTTTTTATCCA